GGGGTGTTAAACCCGTATATGCATACCCCTAGGACCACTCATCTTGCTGCAGCAGAGCATGTTCTAAAGTACTTAAACAAATATCCTTGTAGAAGTATTTTGTTTTCAAAGCATGACCACTTGGGGTGTTAAGACCTTCACAGATGTTGATTTGGTAGGCTTAATTGATGATAGGAGACCCACCACATGTTACCTTTTTTGGGGGGGGAATTTGGTAACTTGGAGAAGTACAAAAAAAAAAAGAAACAGTGATTGCTAGGTCAAGCACAAAAGCTGAGTATAGGACCATGGCACCTAGAGTTTTAGAAATGTTGTAGTTGAAGAATATGTTAAAGGAGTTGGGAGTTGAAGTTCACAACCCAATGTGACAATAAGGCAACAATTAATATAGCCCACAATAGTATGATGCACGAGAGAAGAAAACATATTTAAGTTGGCAAACATTTCCTTTATGAAAAACTTAAAGCCGGCGAAGTTTGTATTCCTTATGTAAATTCTATGGATCAATTAGATGAAATTTTCACCAAGGGTGTTTCAAGTACCTGACATGTTGACATATGTGCCAACTTGATGGGTAGTGTTGGTAGGATTGTTAATGGAATGGTTTTGCTATCTTTTCTCTGTTGTAATTAGGGGTACTCTTGTAATTAGGCCCGCGGGCCTGACCTCGGGCCTAACATAGTAAGCCCGATTGTGTTTCGGGCCGGGCTCGGGATTTGTCAAAAAAGCTTGAGCCCGAGCCCGGCCCGACCTGACTAAGCATTATATATTTTATAAATACATAATATGTATTTTATATATTATATAAAATATATAAATAATATAATATTTATTGAAATATATATTTATAATTTAATATACATTTTTTATTTTTTTCTTTATAATTTCTCTCTCTCTCTCTCTCTCTCTATCTCTATTCAACCGCTTCCGTAGTAGTAACAGCATGGGCTAAATTTCGGGCTCGGGCCCAGACCCGGTCTTCGAGTTTTTTATAAGGGCCGGGCTCGGGCCCAAGTTGTAGGCCTGATAGTCGGGCCGGGCTCGGGCTCGGGCCTTAGAAAAATCTATTAATACAGAGTGAAAGCCCGGCCCATGAACAGGCCTACTAATATATAAGTTGCTAAGGGTGTTGCCCCTAACATCTTTTGGCAAATATTCTTCTATTTTCTTCTATTGTATCTCTCTTCTCTTCTTTCTCTTCCATTCTAAAGGCTTGATTCAAAATAGTATATTATTAGACAGTGTATGCCCTCAACTTCAATAGGAGTGATGTAAACTAACATTCGTTATTAAATAAATTCAATTCATTATTATTTCATGTGTTATGGTACGCTTCTATGATTTATCCCTTAGTTATGCATTTATGAGACTTATGTTAGCTTAAATGTTCTTAGCCGATTGATAAACTTTGGGAGTTTATAGTACCAAGGTTGATACTTATGTACTGTTGAATTGGTGGACAATCTGTCTCAACTGCTCGGGTTAGACCTAATGTACGATAAGTGGGTGTTTGAGAAATGTTGAATGGGTCCATTTCCAGTTAGACCCTGGGCCTTAGAGTTAGAGGGATAAATATGAAAAGTTGCATTTTATCCCTTGACTTGATAATGATGCCACACTAGGTATTGGATTGACCTACTTTTGATATTCTAACTAGTGAGATCCATTTAGGGTTAAATAATTGGGTATGTTGGAGTAGACTAGAAGAATACTTTAGTGGGTGATCATTGTAATAGGATTAGCCACTTTAGATAAAGGAAATATCTTGATATACACTTTTTGTGATGGAAACATAAAACTACCAGTAGTGGATTTGAACTTGTTTTGAAATCGGTTTTGCAAAATACATTTATATTTATAAATAGTTTATTTTAATGAAAAAATGTTTATAAATTGGTTTTAATCCTGTGATCCATCTAAGTGGAGGGTGTGACATTGTATTTTGCACTTAGGGAAGAGGTCCTTCCCTATCAATAGTGTTTTTGATATTATTGGCTAAGAGGTTACTGCAAATGTCTAGTAGGGGTAAAATTGAGAGGCATTTTCCCAATTTAAACCATTGGGCTTGAGCTTCATAGAATGGCTGAAACCCAAGTCTTATTTGTAACAAAATGTTGGACCTAATTTAGGCCCAATATGTGTTGGACTATTCACTAGGCCCATATACTTTGTTATATCTAGGGGTGTCAATGGACCGGTTTTGGGTTGGACTCCGTCCAAATCAAAACACATTTGGATGGATTGGATGGACCAATAAGATATTGAATTTGGACAGATTGGATGGACCAATATGACATATTGGATTGGACCTGGTCCATCCATAAAGAATTTATATTGGATTGAGTTGAAACCAATCTAAATTATTAGGAATTTGAACAGATTGGACAGTCTTTGGACTGGTCCAAAATATTCATTGGACGGGATTGGACCAGGTCCATTTGTAATGGGCTCACATTGGACTGGACTGGATTGGACCAAATCCAGTCCAATTGACACCCCTAGTTACATGGGATGGACCTATTTAGTTGTAAGTTGGGAGCTATGTGGATCCCATGCCATAAAAGAATGAGGTTCATTATTAGTGGTCAAAATGTAAGAGAATTAGGACACTCAAGAGCTTAGTTAAATTCTAATTCCTAGTTTGACTAGATAATTAGTTTGTTGGAAACTTGTACATGAATTGGGAAACTACCTAGATCTCCCTTATCCTAAGTTAGGATCATTTCCTAATTAGTAGCTTTCCTAATCCGTTAGGCGAGTGGTTAGGAAGGTTCTAATTGAATTAGAACATCTAAATCTATAAAAGATAGATAAAGAGAGATTCAAGGAAGTCTCTTGCTAGACAGGATTGCCTACATACTTTAGAACAATAGGCAAAAAATCTCCATTGTTTCTTCTCCTAACCTGTCATTTTTAGAAATGGCTCAAGCTTTTGAGAACATTAGAATGCACACCATTGTCGAGATTCGATCAAGACAAAGAAGTGCATCAATTCAGCTTGTTTCTCTCCAGTTTGAGTAAACTATGCTCTCCATGAAGCTTGCACCATCTTCAGCTTGGGGATTCTTGGATTTGCATTCTTGGGTGTGTTAACCACTAGGGAGCTGCAATTGCGAATTCCGTTATCAGGTGACATTCTGCCCTTCTCCAGATTTACTTTGGCATGCTAATTCTAGATTGATCCTATGAGGATATTGATTATCATAAGAGATTTGATCTCTCCTATTGGGATGAGTTGATTTTTTTTTTTTTTTTGAAATTCTACTCTTTTTTCCATCAAAAGTTTGACCTTTTTTGCATTGTTGAAAGTTAAAGACCTTGTGCAACAATAATTTGGTGAGGAAGATTGCAAGGTTATCATAATGTTTTTGAAATAGAAACAAATAGGGGTGAGTAAGAAAAATCGAAAAACTGAACCAAATAAAAAAATCGATTAAAACCAAACTGAAAATCCGATTAACCTAACCAATCGGTTCGGTTTCATTAACCAATATGGAAAACTGACAGTTAACTGAATTGACCAATATACATATGTTTCTATATATTTTACGAATATTTACGTATATTATATATATATATATTATATTTTCTATATATTATAAATTAATAAATATACATTATATAAAAGTATATATTATTTATTATTGAAAATATAATATATATATATTTCTGTTTTTTATAATATGTATTATAAATAAAAGCTAAAAACCAACAAACCGAATCAAACCGATTAATCAGTTAATTGATTGGCTTCGATTTAATTTTGTTTACTGATTTTCTAGAAATTGATTTTAAAAATAGGCCCACGGTTCGATTAACCGAACTGTAAGCACTCCTAGAAGCAAAAATGAAAAAGTGAGAATATGTTTGACTGAAGGTGTACCCACGATCATATCGGGTTTCTCAAAAAGTGCTTAATTATACGGTTTGTGAACTTAGATCCAGACGTTGAAGAGGTGAGACTTTCACATGGAAGAACCTGGCCGCTGCACGTATCCTAGTTGAGGTGGAAGAGGTTCACTTGGTGTCTACATCCTTGGTGCTTAGTTTTGGTAGAAAACTGCATGACTTGAGAATTAGTAGTCAAAGGAGCTTATCCGGTTAGGTGGCTGGAAAAGTTTGGTTTCATGGGAGGAAAGCAGCAGTTGTTGTCGTTCGCCTGGTTTGAACCACTGGAAGTTGAATGGTCTCTTTGTCAAGGGAGGGGGAGAGGTTGAAGACATGGGCTCTTTTGGAAATAAAAAGTTTAATCTTGATAGTCTGTGCAATTCGAAGGCTTTGGCTATGTTTGGTTTAGTAGACATTTATTGGAAAAATGTTATTACATCAGTGTTACATAGGCATTGGCATTTATTGTGCATGAAACTATTGTTTGATTTTACCGTTTGTCAAATAAATTCTGAAAAATGGAAATGCTTTGATTTATATACACGAGGAATTGGAGAATAATCCAATCAAATCTTGAAAATCTTTGGCTATGAAAATCTTGAGAAGATTTGATTAGACTTGAATACTTTGCCTATCATATTGGGTCATAATGAGTTGGCAACCAACATATTAGGGTTACTAGAATGGACTTTAATATTATTGGGCCTTTGGACAAACTCACAAATTAATGAATGTGGGCTTGCTGAATACATGATCTTTGTAATAAACTGATTATCGACCCATTATAATAGTACTTGGATTTCCTACTCACTTTTCCTATCCACTCTACCTGCCGTGAATTGAGAGATGTGTGACTCCAATTCACTGCGGGTAGGAAATCTGAGCTCTAATAATAGCCACTAAAAAGCCAATATAGATTTTGAGGGAAAGAGTATGACTTCCCTTTCATTAACCTCTGATTCTGCATCACCTCAGGATTTAAAACTAACATTAATATACATAGGATGACCATCTAAAGCACATAACAAGAATACAGTTGAGCTGCAATAGAATTAAACCATAACCACTAAAACTTGAGAACATAAAAATGATTATAAGAGAATAGATCATACCAGAAGTGTCATATAAACGGCAGCTTCCTGTATGTGAACCCACTAATGCACCCTTCAATAACAAAAATAATCCACCAATAAGTGAATAAACTCATTTTAGTATGTTCCTTTAAAGTTTAATGAAGTGCTCATAAAGCTGATCAATCAAGAAGTTAGTCTTATAAGGAATAACAAAATTCTTCTCAACAATGAGAATATTCAATTAAGTAGTTGAAAGCATGGACATCTAATCTAAAATTCAATCATGTCTTTGAAATGTTGAGAAGTCAAAACTGCTTGAGCAAATATACCACTCAAAGTAAACAAGGGAAACTAACAATACTTAGAATAGAAAATATTACTGAATTTAATCAAATACTTCAACAAGCCTTGTCTCCAAATCCAGCAAGATTGAAGCCCAGTTTGCAGTATTGGCTGACCTTTTAAAGAACTTTAGCCGAAGTTTGAACCTTTGATGATTTAATAGAGGTAACAAATAGCATAAAGCAATATATCTTCACCTGTCCATCAGGAGTGTAGCAAGCAGCAGTAACCATTTCATGAAGATCAGTCCAGTCAACAACTTGACGAGCCGGTATATTCCATATCCGAACCTTTGCATCAAGTGAACCACTGATGAAATATTTATCATCTACTGGGTTGAACTGTATACAAGTTACTGTCCAACCATACCGGAGAAAGGCCCCATAAGGAAGAAAGATAAATAGTCGTGTTTAATGGAAACTCAAGTACAATAAACAATAAATTGGACTATAAAGCATCTCACCATAATCATTATGTGCAAATAACTTCAAACACGTCTTGCTTTCAATGTCCCAAAGCCTTACAGTTTTGTCCATTGAAGAGGAAAGTAGTTGCTGAAAATACATAGGAATTTATAACATGAATATGCCTAAAAAGTTTCTTGATTTTATGTCAAAGCTATAAGTAATGAGGTAGATATGTTCACACAGGATTTCACAGAAAATAAGATTCTACTTTCTTCTGCTTTAGCAATATTAGTCTATTAGAAGCTATTGTTAGTGTTTCAACATATTAGTAAACATCCAAGTTGGAAGAGAAGATGCACATATGCCAATTAATGCATTGAGTTTGCTAAAAACCTACAACCAATCAATTTCATTCACACTATAGCTATGTTTGGTTTGATAGGAAATGAGAGAGTAAGAGAGAAAGTTGAGGAAATCTCAAGAACTTTCACAAAAATTCCTGAAGAAGTTCCACTCAACTCTCTGTTTCTCTCTTATATTCTATCAAATCAAACACAACCTGTAGGTGCCTCTAGGAACAAACACATAAATTCTCTAACGGAACTGTATAAATACTTTGCTAGTTTACAGTTCATAGATAGAGCAGTTTTTGGGACAACTTCTGATAACAGAGGAATTTGCAACTGTGTACACAAATGGTAGTATAGAGTTGAAAGAGTCAATCCTTCTTCGTCCTAGATTGCCAATGCATGCCAGTGAGGCCCAAAGATTTATTGAAGACAATAAGGATCACAGGAGATGAGATCAAGAAGGTTTCATTTAACCATAAAAAAAATGAAGTAGTTAAATGGGAATCATCATTTATGTTGTTTGGAAGGAACCTGACCTGTGATTTAGACCAGGAGAGATCCAAGACATCGTCCAGGTGACCTTGGAATGAACATACTGGTTTCTCTGAGAGTAAGAAACTGGTCTCTGGCATGAGAACATAATCAGGTTCTGCGGATCCTCCCTTTTTATTAGCTGGCGTCCTTCCCTTCTTCTTCTTCTCCGATGGTGTTGGCTGATTCTCTGCAACAGGAGGTCGATCAGGGGAACTGTTTGCCATGGGATGAAGTGGAGTGGAGCTTCCTTCTTCCTGGGGTTTTAATGATAAGACATCACATTCCATCACTTCCCAGACATGAATTACTCGGTCTTCTCCTGCACTGGCCAAGTAACGAGTATCAAAGCTAAATCTCAAAGTCCAAATTGAACCTTGATGAGCCTGAATTTCTTGGCACATGTATAAACCAGTTAGCTCCTTGAATGATTTCCCATTCTGACGCACTTTGGTCCATCCAGAGGAACTCTTTGGGGATCGCGGCTCCATTAATGAATCCTTGTCCTTTTCGCCAATCAATCCAGTCATCGAATTTGCAACACCCTTTATGTTCTTCAACAGAGCCGCTCCCTTTTTCTTGCTTGATCTGAAGCTCTTACTCAGAATTGCATTGGGGCTCATCTTTTTCTCAATGGCACTAATACTGCTACCGATAATCTTTGACACGTTTTCTCGCCGCATCAGCTCCTTAACAATTGGGGAAAACCCAACACTCTTCTCAAATTCATCCCTGGTTAGCTGCTTCCCGGTCTCACGTTCACTGACCGTGTTCACCACCCCCTCAGAGTCGACCTCATTGACAATAAATTCCTTTTCTGTGTCTAGATTCTTTATCACAACGTCAGAATCATCGCTTCTTTTTATCGACAACGATGACGTTAGACCATTACAGTTTTCTGATGCACCAATCCCTTCTTTCTCCGTAGACAACGTCGTGGATCCCGCATCCAACTGCGAATTTTCGTTGCACAACGAAGATAACTCCGAAGGAGATCGAAGCAGTTGCTTCATCAATGCACCACTGACAAATTCTTCCCTTCTACTGTTCGCGATTGATAAAGCTGATGTTATGCTTCCATATGATCTAGATCGAGCAACCACAGGTGGACGCGATGCTGAAGCAGGAGCTTCTTGCTTTACTTCTTCTTTCTCAGGGGCCGAGGCAGATTCCGCCGATTGCGCCGGTTGAGTCTGTCCACCTTCAATTGAAGGATCATTCTTGACTTCGATAGTGGTGACTCTGAGTAGCTCCTTGTCTCCCGACAAGCCCATTCCTTCAAGAAGACGCTTGCGCCGGTCCTTAATGGAGCCCGGCTCTGCCATCCAGAAATCATAGTCTTGTGTCATGGGGGCGGGAGGCGGCCGTGCAGCCGCTGCGACGAAGCAACGAAACTCCTCCGGAGGAGTTGGAGCGGCAGAAGCGAAGGACATTCGGCTGTCGTCGTAGTTTTCATCATCATCGGATCCGGAAGAAGCCAGGTCATGGGGGGCGAAAGAGGAGATCCGGTCACAGGACTCAAAGAAGCAGTCATCGTCGTCCTCCCCCAACCGATCCCATCTCAGGGTCATCGTCCTCCTTTCTGTCATCTTTGCACATTGAGTGCGGAAAAGTCAGACAGGGAAACAGAGAGTGAAATGGAGAGAGCATTTTTTCTGAGTCTTGTATAAATCAGAGGAAGAAACGGCGGGAAAAGGATCCATGGAGAGAAAAAGGAAAAAACGGTTGTTGTTAGTTGGTCGCTATTTTTGTGGTGATAAAAGCAAAGGCAGAATCAGCCTTGATTTCAGGAGTCAAATTGTCAAATTGCTCAGACTCTCTTTGAAACGGTCCAAGGGTATGAACTATGAAGTTCCTCTTCTTTCTTTGTCTTCTACGATTTGCCACTTGGCAATGGGACCCAAAGAAAAGACCAAGAACCCCCGGATGCCGTCTCTTTCTGTCTCCATGATGTCCAACCAAATCAAATGCTGTCTTTTAGTTGGTTGGACCGTTGGATTGGATGTACGTACAGTTGATAGGATTGAATCGTGACCTTCAATTTCTATCTTGAATCGACCAATGAAGTAACGCTTAGGCTCGGTTTGACATGCGGGAAGATTCAGCTGGGATCGAGGTGTTAGGAGAAAGTGAAATTTTCTTTCTTTCTTTCTGTTTTTTTGGTAGATTTCTTAAACTATTTAATGGACTGTGTACGTCCGTTAGCAGAAAGATGAAAAAGACTATTTTATCCTTTATTTATTTTTTTTCAAATTTTCAAAATAAAACTGGAAAAAGGGAAAGAAACACTAAACGCAATGGCTCTTAGGCGATCTTAGCACTTGTATCCCTATCATTTTTGCACCTAAAAACCCCTTTGATAACATCCGCAACAATGAGCATGATCAAGTTGATGGCGGAGAAAGCAAAGGGATGAAACGACAACAATGAAAACCCCTTGGTCTGTATGGATTTTATGACGGATAAAGCAAAGGAGAGGCCTTGCGAGAACTGAACACTGTGAACCACGGGTGTGGATCTGATGAACGCCAAACTACTAACGAAAGTAAACTTACCTTATGTAGCCTGAGACGGAGAATTAATGCCAACACGGGAACAGAAGATGATAGAGGAGCAGGGGAGAGATTTCGGTCTACAGTTTGCCACAACTGTGACGTCTAGCTCGAGTTCGGGAGTTTGAAAAGACAGGAAAGATGAGGGAGAGAGGGGAAGAAAGAGAGAGAGAGAGAGAGAGGTTGGTATTGAGAGAGAGAGCGAGAAGGCAATATGCCATGTTCAGATGAACCCTCTTCAAACAAAAACAGAGGAGCGTTGCTGCAATGAGTTACAGTACCTTTCATCGTTGGCCTCTGCTCGATCTAGAAACGGCGATGACAATTTTCTCTCTGATCTCTCTTCTTCTCTCATACTTTCTCTTCTTTTTTTTCTTCTCCTTCTTCTCTGGCTGGTAGAACCAGCACAGTCAAAACCAATTGGTAGGCAGTCATTGGCAAATGTAAAGAGGTGGAACGAGATGAAGCAGAGACGGTGCTACTACAACTTTCGGCTGAAACCGGTTTCATGCCCTTGATGTATAACTGACCTACAACTTCCTCTGCCGCCATATACCTAATCGGGAATTTTGTCGTTCAACTTGCAACTTCCGGTTTCATGTAGTTGGTAGTTTGAAAGGAGGCGTTGAGTTTCTTGAGCTGTGGATTTGAGAGAGAGAAGAGATCGGAGACTCTTTGTTATCCAATGCTCGGAAATGTACTGCAGTTGCTCAAATCTCTATTATCTGGAAGAAGAAAAAGAAGTGGAAGGAGAGAGAGAGGAAGAGAGAAGAGATCAGAGACAGAACTTGCAATCCCAAACCCTGCCCCTGTTCTCGTTACAAGATTAAAGAGATGAATAGTGTGGACTTGTACTATAGCTGCTCAACAGTCGCCACCCTGTCTTTGGTTTTCGTGTCGGACTAAAAACCGCCCTTCTCATTTTCATGGAGAGAGAGATAGAGGCGGAGAGGGAGGTCTGAGAAAGAGAGTGGGGGCTCAAGGGATGAGGGTAATATTGGGTTTTGAAAAAATTTTATAGGTCACGTGGGGTCATATGTGTATAGATACGGAGCATTAACAGATGCTAACGACAGGGGTAGAGTTAGTCAATTGTCATAAACAATAGGGGTAGTGTTAGTTAATTTTCAAACAGTAAGAGTACATTTAGTCAATTAGCTAAACCATAAGGGTAGTTTAAAAAATTTATCCTTTTTTTACATTTGATTAAAAAAATAGTGAGAATATTCTTTTAGTTTGTGAGAAAATAGTGGGAACGACAATGGGTGGGTTTTGTAAATTCTAGACCGTACTTGCCTCTCTAGACCTCTCCTAACCCTTACCCTCCCCAAAACCTATAGTAGGTTGGATTTTCAAAACCCAAATCCTCCCAACCATACCCTCTTGCATTTGAGGGTGGGCAGGTCAAAGTTGACGAATTGGGTCTAGAACCTATATCTAATTTCTTATTATTTCTTGTTATTTATAAGTAATAAACAAGTAAAATAACAAGAACACGAAATTTCTAATTGTTTGATTAAAACATGTAGAAAGCACATAAATTATCAATTATCCTTCACATAAGATTTAAAATATTATTAAATTCAACACCTAATTAATACATAAGTTCACATATCTTCTAACAATATGTGGGTCAATGAGGGTTGGGTTTAGCCTAATAGCATACCTTATCCATACCAATATGGGTTGTAAAAGTCCCAAAACCTATACCTATTCCAAAATCTGTTTTCCAAGCAATAAAAAAAAAAAAATCCCATTGAGATGAGTAACTAAGTAGGGTAGAAATTTCCATTCCAGCTATGTTTGTTTTAGGTGTAAATTCAATTTTACACCAATAGAAAATATGAACCAGTTAGTGATGGATGGAAATTGGAATTGGTTATTTTTGAAAATTTACATCAATCATGTTTGGTTGTGAAGGTGTAAATTTTGATGATTTCTTTTTGTCGGAATTTGGAATAGATGTTGATGTAAATTTCCAACCATACACGAATATGCACTTTGCAACAGTCTTATATGATGAAAAAATCCTGATCCAATGGTTCCCAAGTTATTTGAATTTGGACTACGGCCTTGAGCGTCTTGAGCTAATTGCTAATGCGTTTGTCCAAATATAGGTCGAATAGGCTTTTAGCCTACTACAACCTGTAGCTTGTAGTTAGACTTGTTCATGGGCTGGGTGGCCCGACGGGCCGGTCCGGCCTGGCCCGGTCCCTGGACGGGCCCGCGGGCTTAATCTCGGGCCAAAAAGACCGGCCCGCAATAAATTCGAGCCGGGCTCGGGATTTGCCAAAATAGCCCGGTTCGAGCCCGGCCTGGCCCGACCTATAAATAAACCTAAAAACCTTAGTTGAATATCCCTCTTTTTTTTCACCTCTTTCTCTTCTTTTTCCAACCAAATTCTTCTTCTCCACATCCTCTTTTCCTTCTTTATATATATATTTTTAATATAAATAAATTTTGAATTTATCTATTTTTTAATGTAAATAAATTCTGATTTATATTGATTCTTGAATAGGGAAAATTTCTAATTTTTTTATTAGGTCGGGCTTCGGGCTCGGGCTCGGGCTTCGGGCTTTTTATTAGGGCCGGGCTCAGGCCCAAGTTGTAGGCCCATTGGTCGGGCCAGGCTCGGGCTAGGGCCTAACATATTTTTGTTAATGAAGAGTAAAAGCCCGACCCAAACCCGGCCCGGCCCGGCCCATGAACAAGTCTACTTGTAGTATACGCATCATTGCTCACAATATGAGATGGGAAGACGTGAAGGCTGCTGGGGCGTAGGCATCTAAGAGGTTGTTTGGGCAGCAAGCAGGAGGGGTGGCTCATGGTGCACTTTACCCTTCTCTCCGACGACCATGGCTTCCAGGGGATTTATTTTAGTGGTTAACATCACTTTACCTTGTATGCTAAAAGGAAGCTTGAAGCTTTCGCTATTGATGTGACCAAGGTTGCCTCTAGAAAGGCCGACCTTGCCACCACCAAGTGAGAGAGATTTGAGAGCGGTGCCGACGAGAGAGAAACAATGAGCAAGGTGGAGGTTGAGATGGAGCAGACGGAGAAATGGGGATGAGAGATGTTAGACTGAGAGGAATTTTATTTAGATGGTAGAAATAGGTAAGTATTACATCGATAATTTCAATGTATTTTTTACATCAATTATCAGTGTAAAAAATTTTAAAATGGAGTTTTACACCGATTTACATAAATATACACTCTATCCAAATGCTTACAAAATCGAACAGAGGTGTAAAGTTTACCCCAATTCGATTTCATACCTCAAACAAATGCGGCCTCCTAGAAAATAATTTAGAGAAATATGCTAGAATAGGGTACATAAAACAAAGTTTAAAATGAACCTATATATATTTAGCTCAAAAAATCAATCATACTCAACTAGCTATTTTTTTAGCATTTAAAATAAAAGATTGCATTTTTCTTTTTATTCTAAAAAATGTGCACCATAAATCAATTATGTATAATCACTTCTGCATTACATTCATTTCATAGTTCCATTTGCAATATAACATCTTCCTATAATTGCCAAAACCTATGGACCACAAAAAAATCTCAAAAAAGTGTATAAGAAATATAATTTGTTAAACTATGTTATTAAACCAAAACTTGAACACCACAAAAAATGAGGTGCACACAGCCCATTTCTTGATAAATATTAATAATCAAGACCTAAATCTAAAAAAAAAAGTAACTATCCATGTACCATCAAAAGTCTCCAAAGCTATTATACATATAGACTCTCTTCAATGTCCAAAGTAATATAAATCCACTCCATCCTAATCCTTTTGATATTCTATAAAACGTCATGGCTTGTTTTTCATCTTTGGAGAGGATATAATATGCCTTTAGTATTATATTATTTGGCATTCCATTAAGGCATGAGATAACATCCTTAAATAAATTTTCTCTACCAAAGGCACCAAATCCATTCTCAATGGCCTTTGCCAATTTCCCAAGATTCATAACTTTATCAATTTTATCTACAACCATTTCTAAAGCCTTCTCCTCTTCCTAGCTAGTGCTCTTTGGTACATTGCATGTTTTTGCTTGCAAAGTAGGGTGCCCTGTATTGTTGATATCATCTGTGTCATGCAAGGTGTTGTCCATTATCTCAATTGGGGTATGAGGAGTTAGATTTGATTCTTATCCGAGAAATTTTCTTGTTGTTGCTGCATTATTTCCTATCACTTGGTCATTTCCTCAAACTAATGCCAATTAATCATAATTTGCTATCACCTTCCTTTGGTGTTTCCTAGACTTTGGGTGAGCCTAATATATAAATCACAATAAGTTCAAGCCATACATTCTAAATCATATACAACAAAAAATATATTTTACCTCTACACAAGCAGTCCATACTTATGGCTCTACATCTATTGTCTTTCTCATGCATTCCTTGCAAAATCACTTTGGTTTAAAAATCTTTAAACACCACAAAGTTTTTGTTCATAGATTTTAAGGCCCCATTTGATTCACAGGAATAGGGTTCTGGGATTGGAATCCAAAAAGACTATTCCAATTCCAACTGTTTTGTTGAGCGGAATCAGAATCCCATTCCCATTCCTATTCCTCCTTGAATGGTATTGCCCCATTTGAGGGAATGGCCATTCCCTGCCCCTTCCTTGAAAATGAAACCTTGATTCCAATTTTTATTCCCATTCCTGTCTGAACCAAACAGACTATAGGAATATACCATTCCAATTCTGATTCCAAAGGATTTCAATGCCAACTGCAAACCAAACAGGCCCTAAGTGATTTTTAAGGTTGTCCTTATACACTCTATACCAAACTTGGTGGTGATAGCTTTGCATGTAGTTGTATATGCCGGGGCTTTATAGCTTTTAATGACTTTATTCCCCAAGTTAACTTTCTCCACTAGAAAGAGATGCAAAAACTCAAAATGCATATCTTTTTCTAATTCTCCTTGAGTTCCAACCAACTCAAATGATCTCGTTTGGTTTGTTAGGTTTTTGGAGAATTGATCAATCTAAACAAGTTCTCTACTTGACAAAAGAACAAACAGTTGAAAGGATTGAATCGAATCCTCTAGTTTCCGTGTTGAATAGATGGGTTCTAGGCAGAGAGTTGAAGATTTTAGGGAGGGCTTTCTCTTCCTATAACCAAATGGATTATGGATCTTACACAAAAGAAGATTTAATTAGCATCACATATCCTATCGGGGACATAACTCAAATGGTAGAATGCTCACTTTTCATGCTAGAGGTACAGAGTTTGATGATCCCTTGCATCCATTAATTTTTAAGATTTTTACTACTAAACTAGGTGGGTACTTTATACTCAAAGCATCATACTTTTAAGACAAACATCAGAATTTTCTCTATCATCTAAACCAAGTTTATGAATGATTTTTTCCATTAATAATTTGTTTTCATTTCAAGTTACTGATCTGAAAATTTTGTTCATTGATTTTCATTGGAAAAGATCATATCTCTAAAGTCGAAAGTCATTACTACATATGGCCAATCCTCTTCTATTTCTTGTGCCCTAGTCCTTTTTTTTTTTACCTTTAGGCTATGTTTGCTTGGTAGAGAATAAAAGAGAAATAGAAACTACAGTGGCAATTCTAAACAAGGTTTTTAAAACTGAATCGGACAACGAATCGGTCAGGGGTCCGGTTCCCAGGTTGAACAGTCTGACTGTTTGAATCGAACGGATGGCCCGTTTTGACAAAAAATAAAAACCGGCCAAACCGTTGAACGATTTCAACAGTTCAATCGTCCGGGTCAGTAGTTTGCTGACCAAATCAACTGTTTTGGAGGAAATAACAATTTTGAGGTGAAACGGAACTAATTACCTGACTTGTTCCCGGTTTTTCTAGTCCA